GAGGTGTTGACCGCATGCCACTGAAGAAGCCGCTTGCATCTGTTGAGCTTAATTTGCTTCAAGCGCGTTGTCTACGGTAGCTTTTCGTGTGGAAATCGTCTCGAATAAGTCTTGACATTTATGGCTAAATTAGTTCGAATCAATCAACTGTATACGTTTGGGAATAAGGAAAAATATTGTGGTAAACAAACATTATCGAAATATTGAGGTTTTTAGGAAGCGCAGAAATTTCACTTACGCTTTTTCCGCAATTTTGTAATCGTAATACGATTTTCCTTAGCTCCCCACTCCTTTATTAATAAGCGAAAGGAAACACTTAACTGATTATATTAGATTATATATGAGAAGATGATGCAAAGAAGTTATAATAAACAAGTAAGGAACAGCTAAGTTCGGGTGTAACCGAACACTTTTTACTCTTGCAATTGCAAGGATCAAAGCCGGCGAACTACCTACCTAGGTGTTGGCAAAACTGTATCTTAAAAGATATTGTCAAAGAATTCAACATTCATTATTCGACGAAACACTGGATGTATTACAATGAAATTTGGTATTTTATTAAGTCATATTATAGGTCATACACTCACTTAGTTTTATTCTTATATTTTACTTCGCGTCAGCTAAAATTATGTATATGTATATGTGATATTAACTCAACCGGAGCGGCTAAATTTCATTTGATGATGTGAAAAACGTCAACCAGACGATGGGAATTCATTATATTAGGGATATGAGGTTAATAACAAGGTTTACACCAAATTCTTACATATTCTGCCCTAAGTTATAATATAATTTTATAATTTTTAAGAAAACTAAATTTTATTAAAATATCACATATTTTTATGTTGTTGCATTAACCTTTGACATTGCTAAGGTATACTCGAGAAGATATTTTCAAGTAATTTTATAAGTAAATAACTCACACGCTGACCGATATATTCGGCATGAAGTTTGTTAAAGTAACAAAAATCATTTTATGTACAATACAAATAGAGATAGGGGTAGTAATGACCCGATTTTATCTATTTTTGGAAATACAACATAATATTAACAGAATAAAATGGTCCCGGAGTTGCATTAAGGTACCTCACATAACATTACCAACATGGAGTAAAATCAACCGGATATTTGAAAATATGGGGGCAAGGGCACCCGATTTTATCTCTTTTAGGCATCCAAATGTGCCGTTATTAGAAAAGCACGCCTACGCAAGTTTATTAATATAACTCACATATTAGCCGATATATGAGGTATAAACTTAGCCGAAAGTTCGTAAATCTTTCTATTTAGGACTATAACTTAGGAGCCAAGAGAAGTAGCCTGATTCAATCCATTTTTAACAAACAGACATAATATTATCAGAAAAAGATTCTCCCTGAGTCCCAATTGGATATCTCAAATACTGAATGATAATTTCGGCTTGAACAGTTATGGCCCGAGTTTGACAATTTTTATAACCTGAACAAGTTTGTAACACCCAGAGTCTGTTTGTTTTTTTTTTGCACCAAGTGAGGAAAACTTAGAATCTGCTGATTTGTCGGAATGGCCGATATCGCACCATATGCTATAGCATATAGCTGCCATACAAACTGAACAATCGGAATCAAGTGCTTGCATGGGAAACTTTTTTATTTGATCTAATATATCAAAATAATCCTATATACCAAATTTGGTTGAAAGCGGTCAAGTAGATCCCGGGATATGGGTTTTCACCTTACGTTGGGCGGTGCTACGCCTATATTCCAACTTTAGTATTGACTCCTATAAAACCCCTTTGTACAATTTCGGATGTAAAATTTAATGTCTCTGACACATTTAGCTTTGATTTATCGCACTTTTAATATTTTTTTACAAAACTGTTATGGTATATGGGAAGTGGGCGGGTTATCATCCGATTTCAAATTTGGGTCATATACTCTTATTATTAGGTGGCAAGGCCACGCTTACTTTTTAAATTTTTAAACTGCAGATGCCTTTTCCTAATGCGATTCGTTGCACCAAATAACAGTTTTGTATCTTATTGTGAAGCTTAATTATGTCAATTTTCGATTAATGGCGATTTGTGGCAGTGGTCCGATTACGCCCATCGACAATACCAACCTTCTTATGGTGCCAAGAAACATATTTACCAAGTTCCAGCAAGATATCTCAATTTTTACTCAAGTTACAGCTTGCACAGACGGACGGACGACAAACAGTCACCCGGATTTCAACTCGTATCCCATCTTGATCATTTATTTAAACAATATATAACCTCATCATTTATTTGTGTATATCTAACTCGATTAGTTGGAGGTGATATTGTACATACACCAATATGTTGCAAGAGTATAATAATAACGGCACTTGTTTCTGCGAATTTGTCCTCCATGTATACATTGAAAACTTTTTAAAAGAACTTATGACAATACACTATACTTATGTCATATAAGTATATACTGTTATCACTAATTTCTTAAATTAGGCATGCGGGCAATAAACTAATGATTATATTTCATTACTTGTATTTCTTCAACTTACTTCATTTAAAACTATTAGGCATATTGACCGATATATACGGTATAAAGTCATCTGAAAGGTCGCTAATCAGTATATTGAGTATATTAGAGCCGGGGTAAGTTTGGTCATAGCTGTATTAATTTTGAAGAAGTATGGAACTGGAATATATTCAGCAGAACTCTGAATATTGACATCTCGTAGTTTATCCACCAGTAAAAAAGAGACGGCTGACTAGTTGCAATTGTGCTTCATACTTGTTATAAAATAGTTTATAGCTACTAGATTTCTCAACGGGGTATATAAATATGTACTTGTTTATGGACATACAAGCCTACATTATTTTACCTTCATATAGAAATCTTAACAGTTATTATGTACGTGGGGCTATCAAATGTTTTATAAACAAATTAAATGATAGTGGAGATATCTCATGGTGCAGTGTTTTATACCAACCAGGCAATTTTCGCTCTATGTTATTTGCTAACGATATATTTTGAAAATTTATGTAAAAAATATGTTGTAATTTTATACTATCATCGTCGACATTCGATACTTTGGATGTATATAAGTATAATGTTTGTTTTGTGTTATTAACCTGGATATGTGAATAAATTTGTACATATGTATATATTTTAGAAAAAAAATATTTTTTGAACGTATTAAATCATAGAACTCATATTTTATATGGATGGATGAAAAATTAAGAATTTAACAGTTCAACTTATACTTTCTAAAGTAGGGACACACCTAGTGTGACAGCCCAAAAAAGCGATTCAGGTACACATACCAAATAGTGTGACAGCCTAAACGTCGTGCTTTGGGAATTAAAAAAAAAACTACTGTATCAATTTTTTTCAGAGTATATTTATACGTGTTTCAAGAATACACAGTAAAATATATAAAAAAAAAATTAAATATTTTTTGAGTTATACGAGATCTCCAACGGCGCTAAAAAAATAGGTCCTTCACTGCTGTAGAGATTCCGGCGTTCTCCGTGGATGAAACTAAAACAAAAGTCGCTCATAAAAGACGGTCCAAAAAAATTTAAAATTGACAAAATAGCTGAGTTTAAAAAAAGTTGAATTTTGCCCAAAGTGTTGGTCGCTTGTATGTTATGGTCATTGTATAAAGAACTAGGTATCAGGTTTTCCAATAGCGATGATATGATTTCTAAGTGTTGTTTCGGCTATTTTTAATATTTAATGTTCTGTAAATTTTTTTTCATTGTATTCAGTAATGTTTACAATTTCATCATGAAAAGATAAACGCAAGAACAACGTTTACAAATTATTCGATTTTATTATTAAAATAATCGTTCTCTAATAGAAAGGCCTCCAAGACGTTGTGATTTAACACCATTTGACTACTTCATGTAGGGTTATTTGAAGTCATTGGTCTGTAACAATAAACCAAACTCTTTTCAAACTTTAGAAGTCAATATTGAACGTGCCTTTCATGAAATACGACTTGATTCATCGAATTCGTTCCTGCAAAAGAAGTCGTGGAGGCCATTTGAATGATGTTATATTCAGAACTTAATTGTATCGATAGTTTTTCACATTAAATAAGCAACATTTGAATTTCCTTAAAAATTAAGGAAAACCCTATATATGATACTCAGGCCATGCAGAGAAAATTTGTTACTGTCCGGAAAAAAAGTGTTCCTCAAAAATGAAGTTTTGAGAAAAATAAATATAACTGATAAACTAATGGAGCTAAACGGCTACACTTTCGAAAGCTATAAATCAAAAACTATATAAAATATCGATTTACAATTTTTGTGTATTATTTTTAAAGATATAACCTATCGAAATAAAAAAACAGAATCGATTTTTATTTATAAATTTCATATTATGTGTGTGCCAATATGAGTTTTAGTATGGTCAATAGTTCAATATATGAATTCTCAAGGAATCACTCTGCATCATTTTTATTTTTATTTTGCCAGTACTCAAAGTAGAAAGTTCATGAAGTTTTAAACAAACAAATTCTATTGAAATTACCTTAATATATAATCTAGTTTTTTTTGCCACCACTTAAAAATTAATCTATGCAAATATATACCTGTAAAATTTATCTCGTCTATACTGCGGTAAAAATTCCTCACTAAAAATTTAATTCATGCTTGAAACCTTGAAAACCTGCTTTTAATTAAAAACTTATTTATAAAGAATAATAATAATATGTTATTTTAAATATTGATATAAGAGATAATAAAGAAACTTATATATTTATACGATCACTTAATAGTGCTCCAAACCGCAAAGGCTGTGTTAACCAATTTATTACTTCAATTTATCATAAAACGAATAAACACCGGAATATATGTATATAATTTCATCCAAATATTGTATCTTCCAAGATCGTTGTTATTTTATTGCTGGTCATTTTTTGTCTGGAGTATCTCTGTCAGTGCATACTCGAAGCACTTGCCTACAAAGAAATCTCAGGAATGTTATCTAAATACTGAGAATCAACCCTATAGTTAATACACATTATTGTAATAGGCAATAGAAAAGAAATAGAAATTTTGCTTTATTTATCTATAACACAGCCAGATTATGGGACGGAGAAACCTTATTCAAAGGAATTTAACAAAAATTAAGTTATCCTTTATTAATGTCTAAATTGTTAATTTTATTTCACAGCAATATTATAGTATAATCGGAAGTTTAGGATACAAAAGCATAAGTTAAGTTTAACTAGATGTGTGTGTATGTGTGTGTACTTATACATACATACAAATGTGTATTCGTGATGTTCTTGGCTAAAAGTGAATGAAACTGTAACCATATATGTAGAACATTACGCTCTATTATCTAAGAGGACGCTCTATTATCTAGGTGGACCTAGAAGAATACATAACAATCCGTACATACATATAGTCATTAACTTTATATATTATATAACTTTATCATCAACTTTAATATATATCATTATACGTACATATATATCTCTGCTATCATTTATTCTTGATTTTATTTCAGAGTAGCCTTAGTAGCAGTAGTAGAAAGCCTAGAATAAAATTTTTAAAACGAAAGATTCGAAAAAATCGATTTTGTAGTATAAGATTTATTTTAAAAAATAAACTAGAAGCCAAAAATTGTTAACTGAAATTGTTCTGTTTTTAATGAAATATATATATTTTAGTGATTAATTATTTGAGTGACAATAAGTTGGTTTTTTGGTTAATTTTTGGCGTGACTTCTATTTGTACTCTTATTTTTATATATGTAAATATTTTTATTTTATCCGAAATGCGTTATTTAAAACATACAATATTTTGTAAATGACTGCTAAATATTTTGGTTATAGTAAATGCCTTTCATTAACTTATCTCGATCGAACTTCACCGAAGACATGGTTAAAAAGCAATTCATAACTGACATTAATATATTTCGTTGGAACTTTATAATTTACTATGAATAAATTTGTAAAAAACATCAAATATGCATAATCTTTTGTTAGATTATTAGAAAAAGTAGGACAACTATGTTGTTTCAAAACACGCGCCGTTTTAAAATGGTTTTATGAACATGAGAAACACATTTATAGCACAAGTTTTAGGTTCGGTTTTGTAGTATGGTATTCCCTCCCTTAAGTTATACGATTTTTGTAACATAATTGAAATAATGCGAATCTTAAAAATGTCATACTAAAATGTAAGCTGCAAAATATGGACGGTACATATGAAGTACCGTAAATTATCTGCTTAAACTATATGTACAGAATTACATACATACAAAAATGTTAGTCGAGGAGTATTAATTTTGTGTGTAAATTAATTATAAACAGAAAATAGTAATAAATAAGCAAATGTTTATAATAAAATGAAGATTATTGTAATAATCCAACATAGGAATCACTCATATTTCTCCTCTTTGGCTGTCATAAACATTTTTTGGCACGCGTAAGTGAAATGGTCTGTTAATGACAATAAAGATATTATATGGATTATGTGAAATACTCATAAAATACATACTAATTGCACTCTGTAAAATGTTTGGCTTATTCTTCCACACAACACCGACATAGTAGAACGGCACTCCTATAACCGTTATCAGAACACCCATGCCAACTTCATAGGGAGCTACGTAAACAGGCACGACCACTAGAAAGGCACATATCACAACAAACACAGCAGGTATCCAAAGCGAAACCTACAAATGTACATATATACGCATATTTTATGAATGAGGAGCGTCATAAAAAGCAATTAATTGAATGATTGCCACTTGCATATACTAGATTTTATATTACCTTAATTGGACGTTCCATATCGGGGCGGGTATAGCGAAAAAACAACACCGCCGACACCGAAAGCATTATGAAAAACGACTCCACTATGCTGCTGTAAGTGATGAGCACATAAACATCGCTCACGACGAGCATTATAATAGACAAAATGCACTGGAATAAACACGTTAAATTGAATTATACTAAGCAGCACTTCAAGCAAGCTAGCTATACGCATGTAATTTATACAAATTATTCACAGTTAAATTACCAAAAATACCAGCGACGGCACCGGCGTAAATTGTTTCACACTTATGTTGGACAAGATCGCTGGCATGTGACCGTTGCGCGCGCCCACAAAACACATTCGTGAGGAAGTCATTATATGCACCGAGAGCCCGCCAAAAGCCGATATCGCCACCATAATGGGTATAATAAAAGACCATAGGCCCAGCACACGGTTGCCAAAGGACTGTTAGAAGTCACATGTGTACATACATTATTTATATTAAAAGCTATTATGTATATTTTTGTACATGCAGACTTTTAGTTGACCTACCACTGCTATTGCATCGGAGGCGATCATTTCCGAAGGCGACAACACCGCCAAATAGGCCATATTAGCAAGCACATAAATAGCCGTAACTAGCGGTAATGAAATATAGATAGCGCGGGGCAGATTTTTATAAGGGTCACGAAGTTCTTCTGTCATGAAATTCAAGTAATTCCAGCCGGCATAGGAGAAAATGCCAGAGTAGAAGGCTACCGACAGCTTTCCGGGATCCGTGTGTGTGTTTTCAAAGGGCTTGTCGAAGTTGTGAACGTGACCTAATTCACAATAATACAAAAACCAATTAGTTGCAACATCTAAAAATAAAATTGCAAATTAACACACACATTTATTTTACTCACCCAAACACATCCACACCACGCCCACAATGATAATTAGCACCAAAGCTGCTATTTTAGTGAACATAATTACGTTTTGCATTTTCGTCGTTACTTTCATATAACAAGAATTGAGGTAGGTCAGGAAGCAGATGGTAACAGCGGCTAGAAGTTGTAGTGCACCCTCCGGTATGCTGCACTCATTCTCGAAGAAGGGCTGTAACACATACGAAGCGAAGGTGAGACCCATAATAGCATTCGTTGTAGGACTATCCAAATTTATTAAACACATGAAAGTTAATTAATTTATCAATGTATATAATGAAATGTAAATAATGTATGTGTATAATGAATAGGACTGGTTCATGTGATCGAAAATAGAGCATACTTTTGGGAGAAAACATGTATAGTGTGTGGGCGATAACTGGGTTCAATTAACAATAAATTCCCCTTATTAACCTGATTAGAGATACATATGCCTCGCATATAAAAATAGATATTTTAACACATAGCAGTCCTTTACATATGCACGTATATTTTTTTGCAGGAAACACATATCTATGTATGTACAACTTGTGCCAAAATCAATTAATTAAATTGAGAATACTTTGCACTTGAATAAGACGCAGTCACTTGTAAAATAAACCTAAAACTAATGCATACGCACACATAATATCATATGCACATACATGTATGTATGTATGCATGTTAAATTTGAAGACGGAAGTTCTATTTATGCGATTTAAATTTTAAAACTTATTTAATTTATTCATTCATTTATTCGATTCAGATGAAAATTTCAAAACTTTTGGATTAAAAATTAGATTTCCAATTGGAGTTACAAATAAAAACAATATTTTTCAAATTGAAACTGGAATCAAATGGGATAAAAGAATTTCTAAAATATATGTAAAAGATACTCATATGAATAAATTTAGTTCAATCCATATGTATAAACATTAATATTTAAGTTGTCTATAACATTACTACATATTTAGAATCTTTATTCTTATGAACTTGGTAAAAATTATTACTTTGATCTAGAAAACTTTAGCTTCTCGTTCAAACAATTACGATATTTACGCAGTACGTTTGTTTGTGTGTAGGGGTAAATGAAGTTTTAAAAAATTAACACCTACTATTAAACGCTACTTTGTATTAGCCCGACTGAAGAACATAATTTCCCACATTTAATGTGCGTGTCAACTCTAAAACATTAAGCCTTCGGGTTTTACAAGTTAGAAGTTAGCGTTTAATTATTTAAACACACATTAACATACATTTGTCATATATATGCTCAACTTATTTCACCCTCTCGAAATAAACAAGCAGTGATACAAGTATTTATGGTTATATTTAGATCTCGTACTCATAAGTATTCAAAAAACAAATGAAAATTTTGCTATAAAATTGTTTGGTATAATTTTTTTATAGTTGTAGTAAAAATATAAAATAACGAATAAACTTGTAGATATTGTAGCACATGGAACTATTTGACCAAAGCTCAGTAATCAATCAAAAGCATTAAATACAATTATGTAGGTAGAAAATATGTACATATGTATCGACAATATTCTGTCAAATTTTTTTTAATGGAAACGTTATATCTAATATATACAGTGTTGGGAAAAATATCAGGAACAAAGGAGTATGTTTAAAATTTTCCATGTTTAATAGTTCGACTACAGAACGTTATACCAATTTTCGCGCCAACTCACTTTTTTACATTCTTTTTATACCATCTTCAAGGAATATTAAGTTTGCCACGAAGATTGTAACACACAAAAGGAAACGTCGGAGACCTATAAAGTACAATATATATAAATGATCAGCTGGAAAAGCTGATTTGGTTTAGCTATGTCCTTCTGTCTGTCGGTATATACGCGAACTTATGCCTGTTTTTGCGGTATCGATCTGAAATTTTGCACACTTTTCACAAGAAACTGCTAATTTGTCGAAACCGCCGATCGAAATCAAGTACTTGTATGGAAACCTTAAACATTTGACAAGATACTTTCACGAAATAGTGCAATAGTGCATTACCCGAAGAAATTGCTCAAATCGGATCACTATAGCTGCACCGTTCTTTATCGTTTCCGTTCTTTTTTCACTATCTTTACTACTAAATAACGTACAGTTTGAAAGCATTACTTTACAGTTGATTTTAATAAGAACATATGGAAAGCTATGCTATAAAAGATTCGAATTAAGGTTACGTTCCAATTATTTTTTCCAACACTGTACATGATACACTTCTTTAGCTCAAAATATTCAAACATTATTACATACATTAATATATATGAGTAAATCGAGTAAATCAGTTGCTGTGACACAACGTGATCTTTTACTGTGTTTACATGGAGACTCTTTTGTCGCTCATTATCGACAAATTCTTTTTTTGTTTTTCAAAATGAAAAGGAATGCTGAATTACGTAGCACCGAACGGTTACGAAGAAGAACACAGATTACCCGAGCACGAGCAGCACGGTCCGTTCGTCTTTCCTTGTCGTCCACTCGCCCACAAAACCGGTTTGGGCGATAAAAGAGTCCGTGTGTGAACCTGGACTTTCTAAACAGAAGCCAATTTGTTTAAATTGATAAATAAATAATTACATAGTAAACAAATGGACAATACAGAGATCTAAAGATTACTTTAATATAATATAATATAAACAAAGAAGTGAAACCTTAAACTACAAAAACAAAAATACCATTCAACAACGCAAAGACAAACAAATTAATTTATTATTTATATACAATATAAAAGCTAAAGTACACTTTGGGAATCTATTGGTGGTTATAGCCTGTTTATTAAAGGTATATTAAGTTTGTCACGAAGTTTATCTTTTGTTCCTTCAATTTTGGAGATATAATTCTGATTATATACACTTTTTTTCACCTCAAGAAGCTACACATTTGTCGGAACCACCGATATCGGACTACTATAAAATATAGCTGCCATACAAACTAAATGATCAAAATCAAATCCTTGTATGGAAAACTTTTTAATTTGACAAATATTTTCTCGAAATTTGGGATGGATTATTACCTAATGCAGCGCTAAAATCTTCCAATAAATTGTTTAGGTCGGATGACTATAGCACATAGCAGACATACAAACTGACCAGTCAAAAGCTTTGGTGCAACCTAAGTAAACTTTTTTTTTTTTGTTTTAGCCACTTAACAGGGCCGTTCAAAGTTAAATAAAAGATCATAAAAATTGACCGAGAACAATTAATTACTAATTACTAAAATATTAATCCTTTACTGTTCAGCTACAAATAGTTATGTATTCATCCATTTCTGCATTTGTATCTATTTATAAAACTTACCATCAATTAAGGCTGAACCCGCTTTGTAGTATATATTACATTGCAACAATTAGGTCTTGAGAACATATCTAACAAATTAATTTCACTGCAATGAAATATATTTGCAGTATGGTACAAAAAAAGAATTGAACGCCAATCCACAATCAAACTATAAAGAATATCTTAATAGCGTAATTCAACTCATCGCCAGCAAATTAAAGCGACAAATTTACTGCAACAATACGTTATGTATATGTATACATACTTATGTACACCCATACGCTTTGACTTATCTACTTGTACTTTGCGGTCACTCAAGTAAATTTATTAAACTTACACAAAGATCATCATTGCATCCCATAGGTAGAGAAAGGCGGGTAACGAGCCGTACGCTTCGAGAATGTATGCATAATCCCCACCAGATTTCGGGATCGCCGTGCCCAATTCCGCATAACAAAGCGCGCCAATCATCGACAACAAACCGCATAACACCCAAATAATAAGCGAAGTGCCTACTGCCTCTACTTCGCGTATCACACCTTTGGGCGATATAAAAATGCCAGAACCAAAGATTATACCCAATATGATAGCAACACCTTCAAGTAATCCCAATTGCTTCTTCATACGCACAGCGCTCGTATTTGATTCGGCAGATCCTTCACGTTGTCCACCAACACCGCCATTGCTTATACGCGCAACGTTGGTATTTTCTGTTATAGCGCTGGGCGCTGTTTCACTGGATGGTGTTAATAACACCATTTCGCTGGTGGGTGATTGTAAGTCGTTAGCAGCGCGCATATTTTCAAACTATTCTGGCTGCTTTACCACTTTAAGCACTTGCGTTTGGTTCGAGAGACACGATAAGACTGAAAACCTCCATGCGCGACAATATTCACTGTTAGCTCGTGGGTTAATACAATAATATCAAACGTATTATTGAATTATATTATGTCTACGATTTTGGTTTTTGTAACTACGATCCGCTAAGTGAGTACCACAATAATGCCGGGTACTTTTATTTTTGTTTTGCTACCCTTGTTCGATAAATTTATACACTTTTTTGCCCTATTTTCGCATTCCTTCGTTTGTCATATACTTCCTATAATGCCAAGGGTACGGGGCCGAGTACATTGCCCATTGACACAGTTTCAGCCACCAACAACCACTAGTTGTGAGACTTTTTAGGTTAGATGTGTTGCTATTTAGATGATACAAATTTTGTATTTACAGAATCAAAGGGAAACGAAGATATTTTCAAATATATCAAACACTTTCTGAGTTTTCCTTATTGTCATTCAGTTATGATTTTGTTTATGCGAACGGTTTCACTCTTGTATTTCTGTAGAAAATTTTACGAAAATCAAATTACACGCGATATATGCAAGCAGAACTAACATCACTGTCAAACGGAAAATGGCATTGCGGAAAGTGAAACACGAGAGGTGGGAGAATATTGATAGGGGTGAAAAGATGTGTTGCTCAAAAATTGAAAAGAAAAGTCTGCAGTGTTGGAAAACGAAAATAGGTGAAAACACGCTAAAATGTCGAAAACATTGAAACATTAAAAACTAAACTCAATTGTTCACAACAAACAATTTAACGTATTTCTTGACAGGTTTACCACAGTCACATGTAAGTTAAGCAAAGCATACTTTTAGGAAGTCTGAAATCTACTTCCGACTTCGGTTGTGTTAACTAAGCCATTTCTTTCTCTATTACAATTGTAACGGAAATTTATATTATTACTACACGTCACGAAGTGCTCAGAAAAAAATGTAGTCTTATAAAATTAAAATAGCAAGGAATAGAATTTCACAATTTAGTTTATAATGATTTCACTTAATTAAAAAGTGAGGGTAATTTTTCTTTTTATTTAGTTATATAGTATATACACACATCATTTCTTATCCTTCGCGTGCAACTTGGAATTAATCATTTCCTTAAATTGTGACAAAATTTTGTTTTCACGCTTCTGTCGCTCTTCTTTGCTAAACATGGCTAAAGCTCTTTTTTCATCTGCAGAATATATTTGATTTTCTTTACGAATACGTACTGCTTCCATGCGGCGATGTCTAAAGGAAAGTTAGTAACGTATTTATAAATTAGCACATAAATTATGATTTTATACTGACCTACTACCGCTCATAACATAACCAACGGATTCAAAGTTGGCAATCTCCTCGGATGTCAAACCAATTTCACCTCTACGTGGAATTCGTTTTCCCTCTGCAATATACGCAGCCATGGCGGCACCTTCACCAGGTAAAAGAGCACGTCCAAAATCCTTCTGGCTTAGACCACTGGTTTGCCTTAGTGTCGGTCCGAACTCTTCACCACCGACGCCAACATCGTGTAAAGATCGTATTCTGTCTAAACTAGATTTGCTGGCTTCATTTTTAGAGCGTTTTTTATTTTTTTTGTATTTTTTGGTTTTTGTTTTCTTTTTTAATGACTTGACTCCGTCTACCGTCTTTTCCAACCATATGTCCACCGCTTCAGTATCGGAGTCTGAAGAGCTTTCGTTTTCCGAACTATCACTATCAGAACTTTCATCTGCAGAGAAATCTGAACTTGTACTGGATGTATCACTGGAGCTCGACATTTTTTTCTTCTTACTACGTTTGCTTTTAGAATTCTTTTTGCTATTAGATTTATGTTTCTTTGATTTTTTCGATTTCTTCTTTTTAGCCTTACTTTTCTTCTTTTTTAGCTTTTTGTAAGTACTATCTAGAATTTTAACATCAGGATCGTTTAGTTCATCGTCTGAATATATTTCGGGATGAGCTGGGCTTTTACTCCATACATCCTCAGAACCTTCTACACCGATCAATTCACGTTGCTCCCGTCGTGCTTCCAAGTAGTTAGAAGACATTTTCTGCAGATGGTTATTTCCACCGTTTCCACTTCGAAAAGGGTTGCTCTGCCGCCCACCATAATTATTTTCATGATACTTATCATTGGGCCAACGTTCAACATTTTGTTTATCGTCTGCAGGAACAGAACGACTAGTACTCCTTCTATACCTTGATTTCGAGCGATGATTTTCTCTCGGTTGATACTTATCCCGGCGACTTTCAACGGATCCTATACGTGTTATTGATCTTGAACGAGAGCGTGAATGTGTCTGTGATTTAGTTCTTGAACGTGTATGCCTACGTCTACCATGACTCCTTACTCTTTCACTTCTATCACGTTCACGCGAATTATGTTTTCGTTTTTCAAGTGGATGATGACGGCTCCGTGACCTTGTTCGGGAACGGGAACGCATAGTAATTCCGTTCTTCACTTCAAAATATATAATTTAATATATTCAGAAGTAATATTGAATTTATCAAAAATTTAATGACTATAGATGATGCGAAATATGTGTATAAAGAACGTCAAAATCGACAGTGTTGCAATACAAATGAATAAGCAGTCGGAATTGAAAGAAAATTGTTTTCTATATATAATATTACGTATGTTATGTATATGTGTATAGTATAGTTTTTTGCAAAATACAATAATTTGTAGGACAAATTTAACACAAATTTAGCTAAAGAACATATGATTATAACTAAACAAATTTTAATCTTTTTCTTAACATTTTAATAGTACAATATTTTAAGCCCAGTTAACTTCGCTTTACAGCCCTGTATTAGTATTTTGACATTACCTTCTCATCTTCATAGTTCTTGACAGATAATAGATGTGACGTGTAAATTTTTCACAAAATATCTCAAAACTAATTCGATAGTTTTTATTAATTTATAACATTCAATTAAATCACAAATTAAAAAAAAATTATTGCAATGGGTTCTTTCCGCCGTGACAAAGATGATGAAGATGAAGGTAAGATCAAAAACGTATTTGGTTATGAATAAAAGTCATAATTTTCTCCAAACTTGTATCGTCGCTTCTAAATTTTTACAATCATGTTTTGAATAAGAAAACTAGTCGTGGCTAATAAATAAAATGTTTAACATAGTTTATAATGTATATTTACTATAATATACACTTCGAGAAAAGAAAAATATTTAAAGACAGAATTTTACTAAATATATCTTGTCACATTCTGTCGCCTCTTTACATATGTATAGATTGCACCACTTTACTTCACCAAGAGAAACTAATTTTTTTTTTTAATATAATTTGTCAAACAAGGCACCACCAACATCTACCAAAACTTGGAGAAGACATCAGTTTTGCAGGAGACACGCACTTTTAATGACACTCCAGTCAATCCACGCAAATGCATTCAAATTCTTACCAAAATTCTGTACTTGATCAATCAAGGCGAGCAATTGATTGCTCGTGAAGCCACGGATTGTTTCTTTGCCATGACGAAATTGTTCCAGTCAAAAGATGTCGTCTTGCGACGTATGGTTTATTTGGGAATTAAGGAGCTCAGCTCCATTGCTGAAGATGTTATAATTGTAACAAGTTCCTTAACCAAGGATATGACTGGTAAGGAGGACCTATACCGTCCAGCGGCCATACGTGCACTTTGCAGCATAACAGACAATACGATGTTGCAAGCGGTTGAACGTTATATGAAACAATGTATTGTGGATAAGAACTCTGCCGTATCCTGTGCCGCGCTTGTGAGTTCGTTGCGTTTGGCAAACACAGCGGGCGATGTAGTAAAACGCTGGGCAAACGAAGCACAAGAGGCACTTAACAGCGATAACATTATGGTCCAATATCATGCATTGGGTTTACTCTATCACATTCGAAAATCGGATCGTTTAGCTGTGTCCAAATTGGTAAACAAACTGACACGTAGTTCAATGAAGAGCCCATATGCAGTTTGCATGCTAGTAAGTCATAAATAATTTAATCAGTTGACCAGGTTTTATATTAAAATTTGAATAATTTACAGATACGTATCGCTTGTAAGCTTATAGAAGAAGAAGATATCTCAGCGGAAGAGATGCCTAATTCGCCAATGTTTACTTTTATCGAAACATGTCTGCGACACAAGAGTGAAATGGTCATCTATGAAGCTGCGCATGCTATTGTAAACTTAAAAAACACGAATGCACGTGTACTTTCGCCAGCATTTTCTATTTTGCAACTATTCTGTAGCTCACAAAAAGCCACTTTGCGATTTGCGGCTGTACGCACACTCAACAAAGTTGCCATGACACACCCAGCTGCGGTAACCACCTGCAATTTGGACTTGGAGGGTCTTATAACCGATACAAATCGCTCTGTTGCCACACTAGCTATTACCACTTTGTTAAAGACCGGCGCTGAATCGTCCGTAGAACGTTTAATGAAACAAATCTCCTCCTTTGTTGCTGAAATTTCAGATGAATTTAAAGTGGTCGTTGTCCAAGCAATTTGCGCACTCTGCTCCAAATATCCACGCAAACATACTGTTTTAATGAATTTCCTTAGCGGCATGCTGCGTGAAGAGGGTGGTTTAGAATACAAAACTTCAATTGTAGACACCATTATAACGATTATTGAAGAAAATGCTGAAGCAAAGGAATCCGGTCTTTCTCATCTCTGCGAATTTATTGAAGATTGCGAGCATGTATCCCTAGCAGTGCGCATTCTTCACCTACTAGGCAAGGAGGGACCTTTCGCTAACACGCCATCCAAATATATACGCTTTATATATAATCGCGTTATATTGGAAAGTCCCATTGTGCGCGCAGCAGCTGTCACAGCATTAGCACAATTTGGCGCTTCTTGTCCGGCACTCATACATAATATTTTGGTATTGTTAAGTCGCTGTCAAATGGATCCCGATGATGAAGTACGCGATCGTGCTACTTATTATTTGCACATTTTGCAATCTAACAAGCCGGAACTGTATAAACATTACATCATAGAACGTGAGACATGCTCACTGACGTTGTTAGAAAAGGCATTGACAGAACATTTGAATGGCGATTTGTCCACTAGTTTTGATATATCGATTGTACCCAAAACTGCTATTGTTAAGGAGGAAGTTGCCAACGAAGCTATGCTCATTTCTAATAGTAAGTATTTCAATATTGCTCCATTCCGTCATGTCAACGTATATGTTATTTATTTTTAGCACCACGTGCTCCCAAGATTACACGGGAGGAGGAAAGTGCTGCTCGTCTGTCACAATTACCAGGTATACAAGTTCTTGGACCAATTCATCGTACAACAACACCGATTCAACTTACTGAGAGCGAAACAGAATACACCGTACAATGCATTAAACACATATTCGCCAATCACATTGTATTTCAGGTGCGTTTTTAGTGAATTTTTATACCCTGAACAGGTTTGCTACGAAGTTTGTAACACCCAGAAGGAAACGTTCGAGTTTCTATAAAATGTATACATAAATGATTAGCATGATAAGCTGAGTTGATTTAGCCATGTCCGTCTGTCTGTTCGTTGTTGTTGTATCACCCCAGCAGAAACTGCTTGGAGAGGAGCTCGTTATGTTCCTTAACCGGAAGTATACGGGACTCACTATGCAGGTGTTCTATTAGGGACATTAAGAGGCATTCCGTGATAGTCAGGAGTGCAGTGTTTTGACACGTCTGAAGCGTCTTTATATGTGTTGCACTACATCTATGCGACTATATTGGAGCAGCATAGTTTAAGACCCATTGTGCGCGCCGATTGCTTTGTAAGTTGACAACAACGCTTCTTTGTCTTGTCCCCAAGAGCTGCCGGCAAGCGATTTGAGGATTTTGTTGCGACTCTGTACTTTGACAGTTATCACGGTTGTGTGAGGAGTGAAGGGGCACAGACTGTCTAATGTAACGCCTAAAAATTTAAGGCTTGTTAACTGTCGGAATTTTAATGCCATCGGCTGAAAATTTTAGATCCAGTCTGTACTCCTTCGTTCAGATTGTAAAAATGGTCGCTGTGGTTTTAGTGGGGAAGAGTGTCAGGCTGCTTACAGAGAAAAAGCGAGAAAGGTCGGACAGATAACCGTTCACTTTTGAGCACATGCCATCGATTACATTGCCCGACGTCATTATCGTGCAGTCATCAGCCTACGAGGTGATGAAAATTCACTCTGGTGGTTGGGGGAGTTTCGAGATGTATAAATTAAACAGTAGCGGGGAGAGGACACCACCCCTGTTTAATTCTTAAGTTTGGAGTTTTGACCTCAAAACAGTACGGATGAATGCCGATCGCTCAGGTAGTTCATAGTCCAGCCCTGTAGGGAGCGGGGATTGTTCTATGCTCTCAAGTAGTGTCGTGTGGCTGACTGTGTCAAAAGCTTTTGACAAGTCCGACGCTATGAGGATCGTCCTCTCGCAGGGTGGCTTCTGGTATACACCATGAACTATCTGGGCGTTTATGACGCTAAGAGCTGTGCACTTTTCGAAAGCCATGCTGATGGTCTGCTAGACTCAGGTGGTGAGTGAATGTCAGGAGTAGTAAGGCCTCAAGTGTCTTCACTACTGGGGAAAGGAGAGTTATCGGACGATAAGACTCCCTTTTGTTGGCGGGTCTCCCAGGTTTCAGTAGTGGGACCACTCTTTCGACTTTCCACACAACGGGTATTTGAAGAGTGGTCATCGACAAGTTGAAGACCTTGGGGAGGTACCTTACTCCCGTCGAGCCTAGGTGTTTTAGCATAAGCATGCTTATTCCGTCAGAGCCAATGGCTTTGGACGATTTGGCCTTGTTGATGGCACTCTGAACCCCCCCCCCCATCGGTGAAGGTAAGTGGTTCGCGGTCTTTTGGCATTTTGCGCAGCCGTCGAGTAACACATCGTTTGGCCTTGTCAGCCAAAGGGTGCAGTGTAAATTGGCGGCTAAAATAGCTCGCGCACTTCTTGGGGTCCGAGTAGGCATGGCCATCGAATTGAATCTCAACCTGGTCGTCATGTTTCCTCGGATTAGACAAGGCCTTGACAGTAGTCCAAAGCTTACTCACACCGGTTGAGAGGTTGCAGGACCATTTTGTCCGCTTATGCTGGTTTACCATTTGCCGAATATCCAAATTGATATCGCTTATTCGGGGATCACAGGGATCGACATGGCGTAAGGTTATGCGCTCGTTTGCTAATACAGCTGCTTCGGCTGGGAAATTAGGGCGGAGTTCCGCGATTCTTCCAGCCGCTATGAAGCGAGCAGTAGCAGCAGCGATCACCTTGCGGAATCGACGCTCGCCAACGATGACGTCCGTAGGAATGGGTAGTGCGATAAAGGTGCTCTAAGTAAATTCTGTGAAGCCGATCCAGTTAGCTTTGTTAAAGTTAACAAAGGTGCGGTTGTCCACAGAAATAAAGTCGGTAGGTTTCTCGATCGAGATAATTATGGCAGATGGTCTGATGCGAGAGTTAGCATAGGTCGCCAGGTTATGATATCTATCAGACCACCGCTAGCGATGGTAATATCTGGCGTGCTATTACTGGCGCCCATAATTCTGGTGGGGGCTTTGTCATCCATTGTGCAGAATGTCGAATCGTCAATCTGTTCCGCCTGCTCCATCCCCCTACGATCGTTAGGCCTCTACCATTATCTCGCTAGCGATCCTTACGTAAAACGTTGAAACCTGCACAACTCTAAAAATCTTAGCAGCTGTTAAACTTGGTTTCGAGGACCGCATCTATCAATACGTGTTCCCGACTTATAAATGCAACTATCTCTTCGATCTTACTCTGGAGTCCGTTGCAGTTAAATTGTAAATGTCGCGTTTGTCTCGGGTGTCCGGTTGTGATCCTAGGGGTGAGGTAGGTACGTGTAGGTGGTGGTTGTTGCAGCTGTAATATCCGCATGGCCGGTTGTGGTGTTGTTTGGCTACGTCACTATATGGGATTGCGGGGGCAGACTCGTACAGCACGGGGCAACATACGACGCACTCCACTCACGTGTGGCGCAGGTCGGAACACGACAGAAAGTGACACCAGCCAGCACAAGAATTTCACTTGACTAATGTGACGTTCCGGCGTATTACGGTTGACGCACGGAACAGACTGTGCGAGGCACTAGGAGTTGCTAAGTGGTTCTCGCACGAGGATTGGAGTGGGATGAAGGTTGGGGAGGGGATTGCTCAGACTGAGAGTCATGCTGCCTGTGTGAGCTCCTTAGGCCCGTGGAGGACCTTTCTTGGCCACTCGACTGGAGTGGCGGCGCAGTGCGCAGACATGGTGCAGGTTGCACATCCGTTGAGGCAGGTGTCGCAGTAGTGCGTTGGCAGCATAGGGTCACGTAACTCGTGGTCTACTCCCTATGGGTCTTAAGCCCTGAGCTAGTCTTAAGATGGCTTCATCCATTGCATGTATTACACCTAACCGAGGTGGAGTTTGGGAGGAGCCTTTTTGTAAATTGCAGCAGAAGAACTCCTCGGGGCCCGGGTTGGAATCGATGCCAGCACGGGTCAGGAGGATACGGAGCACCCTGCTGCTAGGCGTTGCTCTAATGACGACAAACTTTAACGTAGAACTGGCTGTTGTGGGAATTGTGTCTGTATGTCCGTCTGTCTGTATATACCCAAACTAGTCCCTCAGTTTTTATGCTATCGATCTGTCCGATATCGGACCACTATATAGCATATAGCTCCCATCCAAACTAAACAATTGGAAGCAAGTCTTTGTATGGGAACCTTTTTTATTTAGCACGGATTATTTTTTAAGGCAATAATACAATCTACGAAAAAATTGTATAGATCGGATGACCATAGCATATGCCATATTAAATGAACGATCGGCGTAAAGTGCTTGCATAGAGAACTTTTTCATTGGACGAGGTATCTTCACGAAATTAGGCATAAGTTATTTTCTAAAGCAACAATGCAATCTCCGAAGAAATTGTTTAGATCAGATCACTATATCATATAGCTGTCTTACAAATTGAACGATCGGAATTAAGTTCTGTGAAGGGTATCATAGCGTCGGTGCAACCGAAGTTAACGTTTTTTCTTGTTTATTTTCAAAATATAAAAAAATTAACATCTAATAAATTTTAGTTTGATTGTCTCAACACTTTACCCGATCAAATATTAGAAAATGTGCGCGTAGAGTTAACCATACCAGAAGGATTTACAACACGCGCCGTTATTGCATGTCCCAAATTGCCTTACAATGAGTTGCAAACAACGTTTGTTATTGTTGAATTTCCACCCGACATTGCCAGCTCGGCAGGTATGAAAATCCGAATCAAATGGAATTTGTACTATTTCATTACCTTTTAAATTAAACTTTACCAGCAACATTTGGCGCGACATTGCGTTTTATGGTAAAGGACTGCGATCCGAATACGGGGGAACCAGACTCAGACAATGGTTACGAAGAGGAGTATATGTTGGAGGACTTAGAAATCACAGTTGCTGATCAAATTCAGAAGACGAGAAAGAGCAATTTCCAAGCAGTTTGGGATGCCGCAGATACAGAAGGTTAATTCAAATATTCAATGATTTAAAATGCGTTTTGTGTTTACATAATTATCATTTTTAACAGAGTGGATTGAAGCTGAGGATACGTATTCGCTCTCCGCCGTGAGCACATTGCAGGACGCCGTAAATACTATTTTGAAATTCCTCGGTTTGGGTGCGGCCAATTTATCTGAGAAAGTGGCTGAGGGAACGCATACACATACCTTACTTTGCTCAGGTAGGCGTAATAAAAATTTGTTAATCATAGTGTACATTACTAACATTTTTTTTTCATATACAGGCACATTTAGAGGTGGCGCAGAAATATTGGTGCGGTCGAAACTTGCGCTGTCGGATGGCGTTACAATGCAGCTAACCGTACGTACTACCGATCCAGATGTCGCCGAACTTGTCACATCTGCTATCGGATAGGATTAAGCCCATTAGTTCTTTGTGCATCTTAAAGCGAATAAAAATGTTCTGTTGGTTAAGATTAAAATGAGAATATCGATAATGCCATTCGAGTGTTTTATGAAAAACACTTTCCAACACAAAGTTGCATTTAATTTTGCTACCAACAGCTTCTAACTCTTCGAATTATGTGATACAACTATGTTGAAAAAAAATTGTAGCAAACAGTTTGATTTGCAAGTGAAAAGAAGATAATGTGTAACTAAGTGGCGAAAAAAAAATTGAAAAAGGTATAACATAATATAATATTAATTTAAATTATCTTTCGATGAGCTAAACATCTTCTACAACATCGGTTCATGTTGAAAATAAATTTTGCGCAAATTTTTAATATAAAAAATGTAATAATTAAATTAAGCGCATATTTGTTTAATAACGCAAACCTTTGTGTGACAACTCGAGTTCAATGCACATTTCTGCGAAATGTAATAAATATTGTATTTCAAAATCAATTTTTTTAATTCATTTTAAATATTTGTAATCACTAAAAGCAAATGTATTCCATATTCTGTAAACATGTAAACAAAAATTTAACCAAGAATAACAGAATACTTGTATATATATGCTCTGCTATATATAATATATAAATCGATTCTATCATTATTGAATTTAACTCTGCTTCGACATTTTCTTAGAAATATGTAAGTATTTTACTAATTGCAACAAATATTGGCATTAGTGTTTTACTTGTATTGTATATATACATGAAGTTATATATATATATGATAATATATAAATATATTCATATATATATATATATATGAAAAGTAATATCAATAAAAAATATTACCGAAACCCAGATTCGAAAGTATTTTGTCAAATTATCGCAGCCCGTCAACGACTTACATTATTCCAATATGTTTATGACATATGTTATTTACCTGCCTTGCTTTATACATAATTGAAACACACGTGCTAAATAAAATGTCTTATTATTTTTTAATCTTCCTATCTCTTGATTGTACTCTTCGCGTCATTGACCGTGAACAGTGTTTATACCGACAGTACAGCTGATGTAAATATGTTCCTCTGAATAGACTCGTTATGTTTTCTTGCACCTTTAGACGTCATCTGACAAATAAAGATGCGGCAGCGACTGTCAGTCTATGAAAATGCACCAAATTATTGTACTCTCGCAACTTGTTGCTACAGAGTATAATAGTTTTGTTCACCTAACGGTTGTTTTTATCACCTAAAACTAATCGAGTTAGATATAGGGTTTTATATATATAAATGATCAGGATGAAGAGACGAGTTGAAATCCGGGTGACTGTCTGTCCGTCCGTCCGTCCGTCCGTGCGAGCTCTAACTTGAGTAAAAATTGAGATATCTTTATGAAACTTGGTAGACATGTTTCTTGCTACCGTGAGACAGTTGGTATTGCAGATGGGCGTAATCGGACCACTGCCACGCCTACAAAACGGCATTAATCAAAAACGAATAAATTGCCATAACTAAGCTCCGCAAGAAGATACAAGACTGTTATTTGGTACACAGGATAACATTAGGGAAGTCTGCAGTTAAATTTTTTTTTTTAAAGTGGGCGTGGTCCCGCCTTTAATAGGTTTAATGTGCGTATCGCCTAAGCCGCTAATGCTATAATAAAAAAATTCACTGGAAGCACATGTTTTTAGTACTTCTATTGACGGTGTGAAAATAGTTTAAATCGGGTGGCAACTCCGCCCACTCCCCATTTAACGGTACTGTTAAAAACTACTAAAAGCGCGATAAATCAAGCACTAAACTCGCCAGAGATATTAAATTTTATCTCTGGGATGGTATGAGTTGACTTTATAGGAACCGCGTTCAAAATTAGTCAGTGGGCGTGGCACCGCCCACTTTTAGGTGAAAACCCATATCTTGGGATCTGCTTAACCGATTTCAACCAAATTCGGTGCATAACGTTCTTTTCATATTTTCGGTTACATCCGAACTTAGCCCTTCCTTACTTGTTTTTATTTTAAATTTTACAAATGTGCACCGATCAAAAAAAAGTTGGAGGGTGAAGCTAATTGCGTTCTTTATAAGCATATAAGGAATTGTTTTTGTTATTGTGTGCGAGTTACACGTGTATTGGATACATATTTGAACAAATACCATATAACTTTGTCAAATTCAAAGATTTATGTTAATTGAGATTTTTTTTGGCGAAATGCCCACACTCGCGCACAAAACGTAGCGATTAGCAGCCGGGGATGACTAATTCAATAAATTTATTCAAAAGAACGTCAGTTGCATGCAACCAGCAGTGTAGAGATTTAAAACAAATTGAAATTTACATATGTACATATGTATGTATGTATACAAATGAATATACAAATTTTAATTTCCCAGATCATGGATATTAAATGACTTTTAATTACAAACAAATTAAGAACTCTCAGTTCAGTTATTTAACTGTAAAGGCGCACCTTCATCATCTGCTCATCTGGATGTTCGAAAACATGCACACACTCAATGTCCCAAGTTATGCATATGCACGTTCTCTCTTGTCTTCCGTAGCATCTTTCTAAATTGGAAAATTTTTCATAAGCAGCGTTCAATCAAATTAATTTTCAAAATATTGGATCAGTACGAGCGGGTCACTCAGACGGTAACCACACACTATTCGTAAATATTGTTCGTTTTTGATTGGTGAAATGTAAATGTGATGCAAAACTAAACAATAATTTAATATACATACATATACATATGCATACATGCATACACACATGATTTTGTATAAAAATATTTTTTGGTTTTTTCCAAAATAACATGAATTACTGTGCTATATATTGAAACCGTGTTGTGACCTCAGCAGCAAAGAATACTACACACATACAATTTACTACGAAAAACCTTTGGCATCACAAGAGTCTCGAGCATCTGAGACGGCTTACTTGAGTAGTAATATGTTTCGTGTCTCGCAGGAGATTCGGTTGAATACAAGCAGCAGCGCTGAAGTGACACGCTACTGCAACACCACAAATGCCGACAGTGAAAACGATTGTATTTTTGGAAAATACCAAAGAACCCCAGACGCGGGTGAGTACATATGCACATATATATGGACAAACTATAAATATAAGTATGTAGGTTGGTGAAGACAAATGTGTGTATATATAGCTTATAAGTTTTCGTTTGTTTGGTTAAAAAAATTACGCTTATACAAGCAAATTAATGAATATATTATGTTTTTTTGTTTTTCAGTAGATATATTTATTCCTTTTAGACTAGTTATTTGTGCAATTAGAAATTAATTTTGCGTTGCACAAACTCGGTTGTGGATATTGGCAGCGTGTTGTTTTCAGTCCAATGAGAATAATTAATTTATTTTTACATCCATATGAACTTAATTATGTGTATTTCTAAATGTCGTTACCTTCATAACAAAATGGATATACTTGTAGTAAATTACTCGCCAACAAACGTGAAATAAAAATAAAATGGTTAAAACATTAAGTCATTTCACATCATAATTGATAAATAAAATAGATGATTGAATTGATGACAATGTATTGTACAATAGATGTAGTTTTGAATATTTAGTGGGGTCTTTGTTTAGAAAATTTACCATGGAAGAATGTATACATGCTTTTGTATTATACCATCAGAAAGGAGAGATTTTAACGAAGAAAAAGCTCATCGAATTTTTTTAAAAATGTAAATATTTTGACGTGAAAATTTTTGAACGAAAATTAGGGTCCTTTTTCGATATTAAGTCAAAATAAGGTGAAGAATTCAATGTTTTAAATCAAAGTTCGGTTATAACCGAACATTTTATACACATGCAATTTGCAAGAATCTAAGCCGTCGTAATACTCATTCAATATTCAAATTCGACGAAATGGTGAAGAGATTACAATCAGGTTTGGTATCTTATTAACTTATATTATAGGTCATAGGCTAACTCTGCCTTGTTATTATATTTTGCTTCATATCCGAGAAAGATGCAACGTACAACCTACCTATATAGAAATGAGATATAAGTGATGTAAACCCATCCAAAGGGGCTAAATTGGAAGTATTGAATATATGAAAAAAAAGTAATTCATATTTTCGCAGTTTTCGATGAAGTGCTAGAAAGACTTGTTCTCAGCAAGTTTGATAGAAATAGCTTTGGTGGTTTGTGAGATACATACATATGTGTATTCAATTTATTTTCGATTAACGATATTATTATTATTTATTTACAAATTCCATATCTATTTCGACGAGTTTTATGTGTTACAAACAACCGTTAGGTGAAACTCTAATATTCTGAAGCAAAAAAGGGGAGACAACAAACAAAAATTAATGTGAAAAATGTGTTAACACGAAGGTTATAGATCTTTTTAATACATACGGTTTGCCATTTAACATTTTCCCATAGGACTCGTAATTTTTCCGGATACCAAGATAACCCGTTTTGTTTTTAAACTCAACCACCCATCGCTCTGTCACTTCCCCATCACAGAACAAAGTTATTTTTCCTTTCATTTTTGTTATATTATCTTCCTTTTCCAATTAGTTTCATCCTACTATTATCACTTTTTTTCTTTTGGTTTCAAAATTATCGACCCTGGTCTAATACAGAATCTCAGAACAAAAATTTATTGCCACGATTACTTTTTTTATTCTCGACAAAACAAAAATGTAGATTGAATAGTTTTAAATAGAGTTATACTTCATAACTACAAAAAGTTTTTGTAATTCAAAAAACAGTATTTTGGAATATAAATACATATGGTAAATGTAATTTTTCAATAGATTGTAGTTATGGTAGATATCAAAATATATTTAATTATAAACCTTCTACAATAGTGTTTGGTAAACATTTTTAAAAGCGTAACATTTGACAAATAATATTTTTTTACTGAGTTTTATTTTTTTTTATTTTTGAATATTCTAAAATATATTTTAATAAGAGATACCAAGGTCACTTCCGGTATGACATTTTCCTTCAATTGCTCGAACATGTTCCTCAGGAATCTTAGATTTATAACTTTCTCTGAATCCGATTGAGGTGTCCAAATAATAATGAAGGTAAGCCATGTATCCAAAGTTTGTAGTATATACGTAGGAAATGAAATTCGAGGTGCACTTTAAGTTTTTTTTGGTTAATATATAATGAGAACTGATATGATTTTTGATGCAATCTATCCAGAAAATGCAAGCCGCCTTTTGCTCAGGGGATCATATTCCTTGTGGCAGAACTGAATTCAAATTATAAAAAATATTATACATTCTCGAACAGTAGGCTGCAAACCGAATTAGATTTTATTTCTATTCTATCAATGGATATTTATAGTATTTACAGACTTTAGCTTAAATAAATGTGAATAAAAAATTTTACGATATCTTTGATTATGAATCTGCCTTTCAAAATATACTAAATATTCCTAATGAACTATTCGATTTTTGAACCAATTTTTTCTAACTAAAAATTACAACCTAAAAACATATTCATACTAAATATCGTGTACTGGGCTGCTTCCACGCTTCTTATTAAACCAAATTAGATCAATCTATTGTTGCCAAGAGCAGATGTTAAAAAATTTTTAAGATATCGTTATTCATGGATCTACTAACATAACAATTTCCGTTTTCTTAAAAATATCGGGTTTGTTTATAAATACTTGATCTATGAATTACCCATTTGGTTTATTAATATTTTTGATTAACATTCTTTCTTAAATATGTGTATTACATTTTAGATGCATACCCCACCGAAAATCCGCTGGTGTTAGTTGCACCCGAATTAACAGACCCCAGCAAAGTTCAATTACTTCACTTCCCCAATGGCGCAATGCGTGTAAATTCGGAGGTTGATTTCATAATCAAACGCCATGGTGTGAAGGGAAATTTTGAAACAAAGGTAAGATATTAAACTTATACATACCTTCTGAAGTGATAAAGATTAGTGTTAAATTACCACTAGGCAAGTGTTGTACATACAATATTCCACAATACAATACAATTTTAGGTGAACATTTTCTTAAGTTCACATTTTTTATATAGAGACCAGGGTAAATTAAGTTTGCGATGCAATTTCTAACACCCAGAAGGAAACATTGGAGCTCCTATAAAATACAAAAATATAAATCTAAATGATCAGCATGACGAGTTGAGACGATTTAGCCACGTCAATCTGTCCGCCTGTCTTTATATACGCGAACTTGTTCCTCAGTTTTTGAGATATCCATCTTTTTCCCCCAAGAAGCTGCTCATTTGTCGGAACCCCTGTTATCGGCAAAATTTGGCATAGAGTCCAATCTCTGAAGAAATGGTTTAGATCGGACTACTTCAGCATATAGCTGCTATGCAAACTGAACGATCGGCGTAAAGTGCTTTTATGGACAACTTTTTCATTTGACAAAATATCTTCAAGAAATTTGGCATGGATTATTGTCTAAGACAATGGTACAATCTCCGAAGAAATTGTTCAGATCGAGGCACTATAGCATTTTAAATTAAAAACTTGTAAGAAAAAAGGTTTTTTTTAAGTAATAGATCAACCCAGCAATTCCATTTTAATAACACCCATATTTATGACGAAACAACTAATTGCGTTCACATTTCTTGCCAAAAATCCCAGTTTACGAACTATGCTATAGTTTGTTTGATTTCTAACTAATAGGATATATAACGAAACAACGTTTTGTGGGCACCGTTATCTGTAGATTGATGATTTAGCTTAAAATTACCTTATTTTCAAAATCGATCTATATGCAAAAATTAGAAAAAATATCAATATCTAGAGAAGGTTAGGCGGGTATGGCTTAACACATTGATTTCATTATTATACTCTAGCAACATGTTGCTACAGAGTAAAATAGTTTTTTCACCTAACAATTGTTTGTATTAAGTAAAACTAATCGAGTTAGAGATGGAGTTATGTATATATAAATGATCAGGATGACGAGACGAGTTTAAATCCGACTGACTGTCTGTCCGTCCGTCCGTCCGTCCGTGCAAGCTCTAACTTGAGTAAAAATTTAGATATCTTTATGAAACTTGGTACAAATATATCTTGATACCGTAAGACGGTTGGTATTGCAGATGGGCGTAATCGGACCACTGCCACGCCCACAAAACGCCATTAATCAAAAACAAATAAATTGCCATAACTAAGCTCCGCAATAAGATACAAGAGTGTTATTTGGTACACAGGATCACATTAGCAAGGGGCATCTGCAGTTAAATTTTTTTTGGTGGTGGCGTGGTCTCGCCCCTAATAAGTTTAATGTGCATATCTCCTAAACCGCTAATGCCATAATAACAAAATTCACTGGAAGCAAATGTTTTTAGAACCTCTACCTACAGTGTGAAAATAGTTGAAATCGGGTGGCAACTCCGCCCACGCCCCATATAAAAAATAATAAAAGGGCGATAAATCAAGCACGAAACACGCCAGAGACATTAAATTTTATCTCTGGGATGGTATGAGATAACTTTATAGGAACCGCGTTCAAAATTAGACAGTGGGCGTGGCACAGCCCACTTTTAGGTGAAAACCCATATCTTGGGATCCGATTAACCGATTTCAAACACATTCGGTACATAACATATTTCTATGTTATAGTGCGAAAATGGGCGAAATCGGACTACAACCACGCCTATTTCTCATATAACACCATTTTCAATTCCATCTGATTCTTTCACTTTCCACTATGCATATCAAGCAACAATGATTATATCGGGGTAAAACTTTGCGTGAATAATACGTTTAAAGTATGCCACCTTGTGATCAAAAATTGTCTAAATCGAACCAAAACTGTTCAAGCCCCTAAGTTCTAAATATGTGAACCCCAGTGCCTATAGTTGACCTTCTACCGAAAATATCAGTCAATCCACAAAGAAATCTCAAACGAGTATACCATTTGACTTTGCGAGAGTATAAAATGTTCGGTTACATCCGAACTTAGCCATTCCTTACTTGTTTTATTTTAATATTCCTTTGTGTCAAAAATGGGCGGAATCGGATCAATACTTCCCTTAGTCCCCATATACCAATATAAGATTTTCGAACTTCCAATTGACTTTATAATACATATATCGGCCAATATGTGAGTTATCTTAATGAAATTGAGAAAGCGTGTTTTTCTAAAAACAATGTATCTTTGTGCCTAAAATGAATAAAATCAGGCGAAAACTTGTTTAAGCCCCCATATATTTATATATTTATAAAATTGCTTGAGAATAAGTTCTCTAGTATAGCTTAGCCTTTTCTTACTTGTTTTGATTTACATTTTTAACACATCCGCTTCTGTTTACTCGGAATTCTTTTTGTACTGTTACAACAAAAAACTAACAATCCTTTGCAAAAAGTTAAAAATAATAATAACATCGCAAAATTGATGTATACACAACCATAAGCTAACCCTAATCTAACCTAATCTCCATACATGTCATGCCTACAAGAACAGTGACAGTCATCTGATGGTCATATGACAGTCACAGCTGAAAAAATTTTGTCAGCGCGTAGAATAAAGTTTCTATCATTTTCTTAAGAGCCTTGTGTAAAAACTGATGTAAACAAACGTATGTGTGTGAGTTTGCATCTCTCTTTAACGCATGGGTATTCGGAATTGATTCACTATATATCTATACTGCTCACTCTCATGTCTTTTTCTGAGTCATTGCTGACCATAAATCCATCATAGCTGCAATTTGTCAGTCATGGCTGTAAATATATCACAAGTGAAAAATTATTTTGCGCAGTAGACAATATAATTTTTATTTCTTTAACAAATTGCAACAAAAATTTAATTAAATAATAAAATATGAAAAGAAATTTTCACTTGATGCCATCTCCTCCTCTTAAACACTTTTCGTTTGTGGCAAGAAGAACACTAAAAATTGTTTTGCGCAGTTGTTGAGTAAAGGTTCAGCAATTTCATTCTTACACATGTAAGCAATATGATACGAAGATGTCTCTGTTTAACAATAACAGTGACGGTCAGTTGACAAGTAAACTATCCGTCAGCACTGACATAATAGTGTATTGGTGAACCCATCAGCAGTTTCTTGTAGGGATACTTATACAAGTAATATTGTTCTAAGGATTCTAATTTAATAGCATTTACGAGTATTCAATTTTATTCACACTGAATATTCTTTCAATAAATTACAGGTTGAAAGCCCCTCTGGCATAACCGCTATCACACCTCTCCAACTTATTGATCCGGAACGTTTAAGAGCACATTTTCAACTGAAAGAGGCAGGCCTCTATAAAATACACATCAAATGTAATTCCGTGCCATTACTTAAATCGCCATTCATCATAGTCTCAATTTGCGGTGAGCCCGAGAACAATGTACGCAAAATTGAATGTAAGTTGACAAACAACATTCATTTGATTATATATGGTATTACATTTACAAACCATACCTATTAACATCATAATTCCACCACACTTAGTACCCGTATTCAAATCAGACGCCAGTTGTGTGACCTATCGTGGACTTGGCCTAACACACATTTCCCTTGAAGAGAAGAACGAGTTCACCGTTGATGGTTCGGCAGCGGGCAACAACATGCTGTTTGTTGGTATATTCGGACCAAAAGGACAATGCGATGAGGTAGTCATTAAACATACCGGAAATAATGTTTACAAAATTACATATGAGGTGCGTGACCCGGGCGATTATTTGCTAGTGGCCAAATGGGGTGATGAGCATATACCAGGTTCACCGTTCCAGTTGAACGCCATATAAAGTACAAGAAGCCCAACAAAACATCCAGTCGTACTTAATTTAATTATAATTAATGTTAATGTATCTAAAACTATTACAAAAGGAATTAGCAAATACCTACATACATATGTATGTTTTCCTGAAATTTGTCATATTTCAATAATTCACGAAGATTATCTATGTTGTAATTGAATTTTGTTAGTAAATAAATAGCGATATAAACTTAAAAAACAAATTTTAACGACAATCAATTTAGCAAGAATACATAAAAAGTGCTATACTATATTGTATTCATCGGTGTGCAGTGCAATGCACCACTAGGTCAAGACAGATATTGGCAAAAGAAGGGGAGGGATAGGTTTACCAGCTGTGCACTATTGAAATTTCTAAGCTCCCATAATCTACTTAATATTGCCAGCGAGGACAAATTCGCCGAAAAAGTGCAATGTCTACTCATATCTATACCTATAAAATTCTTTGTCTGTCTGTTCCGGGTAATCTCCGAAACGGCTGAACCGATTTTAATGAAATTTTGCAGACATGTAAAGGAAGTTTTTGGGAGTAACATAGGATATATTTTATGTAAATAAACGCAGTTTGCTTTTTTAGTTGAGTTACAGCGATTACAAGATGATCGTATACGACATGCAAATACACGAAATCAAGAGTCAGATGAATCAAGAGAACATCGACTACAAGATGATCGTATACGTCATGCAAATACACGAAATCAAGAGTCAGATGAATCAAGAGAACATTTGATAACGGGATCTATTCAACGGATTTAAGTTTTTTCAACGCAGTTTGCTTTTTTAGTTGAGTTACCAAACGATGAGACATGAACTAAAACATATAATTATTGTTTAATAACGAAATATATTGATATGGACAAATAGTATTTTCCTCAGGTTAAGTTCAAATGTAAGTAACGCTTTTGTAGTCACCGAAAACATTTTCCGTAAAAAAAACCAAATTCATTCAATAGAGTCGATATTCAATTCTTTCTAAGAAATTATATTGTTATAATCTATACCTATAAAATTCTTTGTCTGTCTGTTCACAGAAAACTATCAATAAAATTAAAAAATTACGCACATAAATTTGTGAACTAGCTATGCCTAGAAAAAAGTCAAATCTTTCGAAGAACACTAATAAAGCAAGAAAAATACAATCCATTCGAGCTACTGAGTCTGATGCGGTCAGATGTCAACGATTAGAAGAAGATCGCAAACGACATGCAATAACTCGAATGCAAGAATCACATGAATTTAAAAAACAGCGATTACAAGATGATCGTATACGACATGCAAATACACGAAATCAAGAGTCAGATGAATCAAGAGAACATCGACTACAAGACGATCGTAGACGACATGCAAATACACGAAATCAAGAGTCAGATCAATCTAGATCACGACGCCTTAGAAATGATCAAATAAGAAAAACTACTGGACGTAATAGTCTATGGCAAGGTAAATATAATAGCGGATTTGAATATGATCCCAATGTAAGTTATTCCACTGAAGCAGAAATTGGTTCAATGACTGACGTGTGCAAGTATTGTAAAGCTTTGAAATGGAAAGAAGAATCAACTGGTATTTGTTGTTCTGGAGGAAAAGTACGTCTAGATCCAATTGAGCAGCCACCTGAACCACTTCAATCATTATTGTGCGGTGATCACATATATTCGCAGCATTTTCTTAACAACTTTCGACGTTTTAATTCTGCCTTCCAAATGACATCATTTGGTGCAAAAGAAGTAAATGAAGGGAATTTTATGCCAACGTTTAAAGTGCAAGGACAAGTGTATCACTTAATCGGTTCCCTTCTCCCAAAGAATAATCAGCGAGAATCATTCTTACTAATATATTTTCTTAGTGATTATAAGCAGCAAAGGGATACGAGATTACATCATTTTCCAGTTCTGAATGCTTCGTTGCTAGAGTGCTTACAGTCAATGCTTGATGAAACGAATCCTTACGTCCGTGATTTCAAAACGGCGCTTCAGTTATTCCCAACTGACTCAAATGAATGTAATTACAAAATTGCTATAAATGTGGATCATCGTCCATCAACAGAGCATAGAGGTCGCCATAATGAACCAGCAACAAACAAAGTGTCTATACTCTTGGTAGATCAACAATGTGATAAACGAGATATTATACTTCATAGAAAAAATGACAGTTTGCAAAGAATTGCAGAAACGCATAGATCATATGATGCATTACAATATCCACTCATGTTTGTTCGTGGTGAGGACGGATACCATATCACAATTAATCAAGTTAATCCCAATACAGGTAGAACAGTTTTCAATAAAAAAGTTTCCGCACTACAATATTATTGCTACCGATTAATGATTCGAAAAAACGAATACAATCATTTACATCAGTACAAACAATTATTTAATCAATACATAGTAGATGTATATGCAAAAATTGAAACAGAAAGACTATTGTATTTTCGATGTAATCAGAAAAAACTCAGAGTCGAAAATTATATTCACCTACGAGATGCTTTGAATCAAAATGAAGATGCGGATAATTTAGGACGGTTGGTTATTTTGCCCTCATCTTTCACGGGAGGACCTCGGTACATGCATGAACGTACACAAGATGCATTCTGTTATGTTAGAAAGTATGGACGGCCTGATCTATTTATAACTTTTACAACAAATCCTAAATGGGATGAAATCACTTGTGAATTATTCACGGGACAATTAGCTTCCGATCGTCATGACATAGTGTCGAGAGTTTTTAAATCTTTTAGTTAAAGGAAAAATTTTTGGTTCTGTCCGCTGTTATATGTACAGTATTGAATGGCAAAAACGTGGATTACCACATGCTCATATTTTAATATGATTAGAAATAAAAATTACAGCAGAACAAATTGATGATGTTATTTCTGCAGAATTGCCAGATAAAGAAGATGATCCCGAATTATTTGAAATTGTAAAAACGCATATGGTGCATGGTCCATGTGGCGCTCATAATCCACAGTGTCCATGTATGAAAAATGGTATCTGTTGTAAGAAGTTTCCAAAGACGTTTACAACAGAAACTGTCACAGGTGAAGATGGATACCCATTTTATAGACGTCGATCACCTAAAAATGGCGGCAGACAAGCATCAATTCAGTCACGGACGAAGACTTTTAATATCGACAATCGGTGGATTGTTCCTTTTTCACCAGTATTATTACGAGCATTTAAGGCACATATCAATGTCGAACTTTGCAATAGTGTCAAGTCTATAAAGTATATAGGCAAAAACGTCAATAAAGGTTCAGACTTAGCTATATTCAGTATACAAAATGATAAAGATGAAATAACTTCATATCAAAATGGAAGATACATTAGTACTTCTGAAGCAGTATGGCGTATGCTATCGTTTTCTATTCATGAACGCTTTCCACCAGTTACACACTTAGATGTACATTTGGAAAATGGTCAAAGAGTTTACTTTGATCCAAGTAATATCCAAGAAGCAATGGACAATCCAAAAAATACAACATTGATGGCATTTTTCAAGTTATGTCAGAGCGACGAATTCGCAACTACCTTACTTTATGAAGAGGTACCAGCTTACTATACATTTAACAAGAACAATGGAACGTTTCAACGGCGACGCCGTGGTACTCCTGTCAATAATTATCCTGGTATTTTTCATGAGCATACTCTTGGAAGAGTTTATACAGTACACCCAAACAATCAAGAATGCTATTATCTACGAATGTTATTGTATATTGTCAGAGGTCCAACTTCATTTGAAAAATTAAGAACAGTAATCGGTATCGTATATCCAACATATCAAGCAGCATGTTTAGCTCTTGGTTTATTAGAAAATGATAATCACTGGCACGATACATTAGCAGATGCCACGATAAGCAGCAGTGCGTCTAAGCTGCGCGAATTATTCGCTATCATATTGGTTTTTTGCAATACTTCTTATCCACTAGAATTATGGAATAAGTTCAAAAGTCACTTTATGGATGATTTTAGAAGAAATCTTGAACGTCAATACCCAGATGCTGATATAAATTCTTATATTGATGATAAAACTAATCGTGCACTTCTTGCATTACAAAACGTAGTACTGTCAATAGGTGGAAACACCATTGATCATTATGGTTTACCATCTCCATATTTAGTTGACGAATCTATTAATACATTAAATAGAGAATATATTGAGCAAACTAATTTCAATCCAATTGAACTTCAACATACGATAAATAATAATGAACCAAAATTAAATAATGAACAAAATCAAATCTATCAACTTATTATCGAAAAAGTAAATACAAATGATGGAGGTGTATATTTTTTAGATGCTCCAGGTGGTACTGGTAAAACATTTTTGATTAACCTTATATTAGCAAAAATAAGCTCAGAGAAGAAAATTGCTATAGCGGTAGCATCATCAGGAATAGCTGCAACTCTTCTTCCCGGAGGGAAAACAGCCCATTCTATGTTCAAGATTCCTATAGAAGTTATCCATATGATAAATCCAGTCTGTGGTATATCAAAAAATAGTTATAAAGCCAAAGTTTTACAAGATTGTGTTTTTGTTGTGTGGGATGAATGCACTATGGCCAACAAAGTATCTATTGAAGCAGTGAATAGAACAATGAAAGACTTAAGAAATAATAATCAATTATTTGGTGGAGTAGTATTTTTATTTGCAGGAGATTTTAGACAAACATTATCTGTTATAGCTAAAGGCACACGAGCAGATGAGGTTAATGCATGTTTGAAACGTTCAGTACTATGGAATAATATCGAGAAGCTTCATCTAAAAGAAAATATGAGAGCACAATCCAGTGGCGCAGAATTTTGTAAAATTCTCCTAGATATTGGCGAAGGAAAATATCCAGAAATAAATTCTAACCACGACATTGAAATCCCATCTGCTCTCTGTCATGTCGTTGCCGATACTCAAACTTTAAAATCAGATATTTATGACGATATTCTCAATCTAATCTCCAAAGAAGATTCGTGGTTGTGCGAGAGATCTATATTAGCACCAAGAAATGATCGAGTATCGTTACTTAATACGCTTATATTGGAAAAGATTCCTGTCAATTCAACAACATATTTATCTATAAACACAATATGTCAATCAGAACAAGCCGTGCGAAATTTAAATCCACCAAAACTCTGCAATGGAACGAGATTACGAGTAATTTCTCTACAAAAAAATATCATCGAAGCAGTAGTTATGACTGGTTATGGTAAAGGCGAAACAGTATTTATACCTAGAATACCTATCATTCCATCAAATTATCCATTTCAATTCAAAAGATTACAATTTCCAATTGATGTTAGCTTTGCAATGACAATTAATAAATCGCAAGGTCAAACTTTAAAGAAAACTGGTATTGATTTGAGTCAAGGATGCTTTAGTCATGGACAATTATATGTTGCATGTTCACGTGTAAGTGATGCCTCAAATATTGTTATGTTAACAAATGATAACTGTACACCTAATATTATTTATAAGGAGGCATTATAATAAGTTTATTATAATCATTTTTGAAGTTTTTATAAGTTTATAAATATATATATCCTATCTATTTGTTTTTATTTTTATTGTTTTTATGTTTTTATTTAAATAGCATATAGATTTAATTGAAAGTGAAAAAATTTATATTTTATTTTGTAAATTGTATAGATTATTTAAGTTATGTAATTAAAAAAATTATATGAGCTATAAAAAAACCATTTTTTTAACTTTTTTAAAAACAATACGTATCTCTAAAAAACACGTTTTAACTTATACTTAATTGTTTAATTTATTCATAATAAAAAACAAAATGCGTACCATTGATAAATACACATAAAATTTTTCTTTATTATTACAAGGTAGTACATGTCGTTAATTGTTCATTTAAACTATTAAATCATAATTTATTCATAAAAATTGGATAGTTCTAACTCGGACAAAGTCGCGGGTTTCAGCTATAGGTAATAGTTTTACGAACGATTATGCATCATTTGTATTGAAATTGACACGGACTAAATATGAATGTCACGAATTTTGGAGAGATTATTCAAGGATTTGCAACAACGCAGACGAAGTCGCGGGTATCAGCTAGTATATATATAATAATCAGTTAAGTGTTTGCTTTCGTTTATTAACAATGGAATGGGGAGCTAAAGAAAATTGTATTGCGGTAATTATTTTACATAAGTGTGGAAAAAGAAAATTTATTCTTCGACGTCATTTATAACTAAAGTAATGCATTTGTTGTAAGGGTCATCCAACATTTCGATACCGGTCCGATTGTGTAAGGTAAAGTGCGATTTGATTTTGTGAAACTTAAAACGGGACTCATAAACATATATTTTTAGAGCAATGTCTAAAGATTTCAAAAAAAATGTTTTACATTATGAAAAATAAAAATTTAATTAACTTTTGGTAGCTCCCGTAAGTCGCGTCACCACTCATCGGAATTGGCGTAAAAGGTGCTTTCAATTATTTTCGCTTTAAAAATGGTCTACAAATTCATTGTGTCTGTAGTCTATCTAGAGCAGTTATTGTATCGATTTACTACTTTTTCAATAGTTCCTTGAAAAACATAGTTTTGAGAAAACGTCGTTTAAAATTTGCAGTTAAAGGTCGGCCGGCTCGGCGCCGACCACTTTCAAGTGGCATATTTTGTACAATTTTTAATATAGGCTTTTGAAAATTTGCGATAATTTTCTTAGAGTTTATAATTAGAACAATAAAATAAATCGATTTTTTTAAAACGCCTTCGGGTACTTTCCCATTTAAATAGGCATTTCTTTCCACTTGGGTAAAATCACTTTCCATTTAGTCACTTTTGGAGACTGGGACTTAGTCTCTGGGGTCAATTATGGTGGATATGGTTCATTGAGAACTGCTTCATAGTTAATTGATTCAATTATCGGTCGCATTTCCACCTGGATGAGGCGGAGCGTTGTCTTCTCTTGAAAAAATCATGAATGGTATGACTTACGCTATTATTTGTGATGTCAATGTTGTCAAATAACAAAAATTTTCACGATGATTTCTGTCGATATTGTTTTTTGTGGCCTTCCTTAACCTGGTCCATCATTTGTACTGGGGAGGTTATGACGAAGTTCAGCAAACCGGTACTTAACTGTTGAATAGGCTATGACTGATATATTTAACTCAGAAAGCGTCACTTTGGAACAAATAACATCGGAACCAGATCGGTATTCCACTAAGGAATCAGTGATAGAGATATTATTATTTTGTTATATTTCTTAACAAATTAGTGAGTTCCATTGATTTGAGGACTTAAACCCCATTATCCCCTGTTTGTTAGCCCATTTACGAATGTATTGGCGCGCAAACAGCGTGCCAGCAACTCCACGAACAATTACATATAATATTCAAATATAGATTTGAGTACATCATAATATCTTATCGTAACACAGTTGTGCAGTTGCTCGTTTTAACCATAATTACCACCATAGACGCCGCTAAGCCAGAGTCATTTTATGAATTCTGCTACATATTCGTTGTGCTAATGACAATTTCGTTCCAGTATTTGCCTTTTCCTCTCAGCTTTTTTGCCTGCACAAACACACGCACCTGCAAACGTATAGTTTGACATGTTTGCTTTTTGGCGCTTCCATCGTGCCGCTGTCGCCTTAGCTATCGTCACAGTCGTCGTCGCTGTCGACGTCATTAGTGGCTATGGAACAGAGAGCCATAGCAAAACATAATGATGATGACCGGCAAAGAACGCGGCAATTATATGTATGTTTATCTCTAAAGTGTGTGTATGTTAGTCTTATTGTTTTTTTTTCTATTAATGCATTACCTTACATTGGACACCTCCATACATAGATATGTATGTGTACATTGGAGTTTGTTTTTTGATGTTGCTAGTAATTTCGACTGTGTTTTCCCTATCCTCGAGTGCATCTCGTGTATGAAAATATTGTGTTATTTGACAGTGCGCCTTAACGACTTTGCAGCAATATGAAGTAAGATAAATTACATGAAGTGTGAGCTATCATCCAGCAATATTCGATGCTGTAATTTTTAAATAAATAAATATTTCAGCATTATGTAACCGTTTCCATTTTTTATTAATATATATTTTATTAATATACAGCCTTCATTCAATAAGCTTCTGGTACTGTTACTAAGATAAGCTATGTGAACCCTGAAAGAAAATAAGGAGATATAAAATAACTTGTAAGTAAATTTCAAAACCTTCAACATGAGATTAGTCAAAAGCTTTATTAAGTTGTAATCTAACATTTGATTACATAAACTCTCAATATGTAAGCAAAAGATAATTGATATGAGGGTAAATAAAGATTTGTTCCGAGTTAATCTATTTTTGGCATCCAACTTAATTTCTTTGAAACTTTAAACTTATATACGGCAGAAAGTCAAACGGAGGCATGTGTGGTGTTAGTTCGATTTTGTTCATTGTTACATTGGGTGATATGGATGTAGTGCAAATTGTAAATAAAAAAAAATCTCTTAAAAAAGACAGGACCACGTCTACCGTCCAATCCGCAAACTGATCAATAAGTAAACTAGCTGCATTATTATTTTTGTTATCAATTCTGACGTTAAGCTTTAGTCTCTATATTGCGATTAATTATTACCGAGTTTAGTTGACAAAGCTTATTAGCGTATTAGATTTATATTACAAGTATATAGCGCTAAAGGACGGGACCTAACCAAAATGATCATTCTCATTTCTATTAACTAATCCAAACTATTACTTTACTTTACTTAGCATTTTAGCTTATTTAGTTATTGAGGTATAATACTTAACGTTTTGTCGGTTATAAACTTGGTCTGATCCAATGCAATGTTTATTGTAAGTTCCTTTAAGATATCTCAATATTTTGTCCGTTTCCACGGCAGACAGACGGATAGGAAGATATCCTGAGCATTTTGATACAACTAGTCTATTTTAATTTTGATCCAAACTTTGATTTCCAACCGGGCAATTCCTCCAATGAAATTGAGTGTAATTTCCTTTTTTTCTATTCATGAAAAATACAATCAACCTTAATGATGATGAGCCTTTGCTAACGACGCAGTCGACGGTGGCATTCGGTCATTGCTTTATTCTTCATTTACGAACATTTTTTCAATTCAAAACTGGACAATTTGATAAAGTATGCATCTAATCCACACAATAATAAGTGCAGTTCACACAAAAAGTGAAGGGGCGAGTTTTTAAATTTTTTTTGTTTTCGAGAAAAATTGACGAAGTGAATGATTCAAGGCAATAATGCAATTTCCGAAGAAATTGTATAGATCGGATGACTATAGCTGCCATATTAAATGAACGATCGGAATAAAATGCTTGCATGGAAAACTTTTTTATTTGAGGTATCTTCTCGAAATTTGGTACGAGTTATTTTTTAAGGCAACAATGTATTCTCTGCAGAAATTGTTCAGATCAGATCGCCATATCATATTGCTGCCATACAAATTGAACGATCGGAATCAAGTTCTTGTAAGGAACATTTGTAATTGCGAAGGGTATTATAGCTTCGGTTCAACAGAAGTTAACGTTCTTTCTTGTTACACCTATCTTACACCCACAACTCACGTTTTCAAAATCAGTGCTTCTCAGAATTTCAAAACTACAGCAACGATTGTTTTGAAATATAAACAAAAATTAAATAGTTAATCTCGGATTTGGGATTCTTTGTTAACTTAAAATAAAATTAAAAAAGGTCAGATACACATATTACAATCTTATTATTTATATATGTTGAATATTTAGTATAGTCTGTTCAAAACAGATAACTAATAATTAAATAATAATAGTACATAATTTCAGTCAAATTATAAATCATCAGTTAATTCGGGTTTGAACATCATCTTTGTGAGCGAGTGCTATATTTCTCATCATCGCAGCTGGGAGATACACCATTATATGGGAGCTGAGTTCAATGATGGAATTGTTGCTTTAACGCACAAATTATGGTCCCCAATAAACTTAATAATGATGTCATTTGAGGTAAGTGAAAGAAGAGTAGTTAAACGTTGGCGTCGCAGTAACAGAGAAAAGCGCTGCGGCAACGTATGCAGTGGCGACGACGACGACATGACCGATTGTTTAGTTCCGATTGAACGTCTCTGTGCTTCGGTTGCGTTATGTTTGTGTGCACGGAGAGTCAAAGTCATACAGTGTTGACAGGCAGCGAGTGGGAATTGTCATTAGATTAATTACATCATTTGGTGTCCGCCATAAACGCCAACGAACGATAACATATTGATTAAGTTTTTACACTAACTAATAACCAATAACAAGTATAAGAGTTAATGAGAACTACAAAAAACAACAAAGTAAATAGCTGCAACATCATTAGCGGCGTATGTGCGAACAGGCAACAGCAATTCATACAAAAGCAAAGAGCTCATTTGGATAGAAGAAATGTGAGTGAAGAAAAATGTGTAGTTAATGAAAATATTGAATTAAGGCCCTACTTATAATGAATTTCAACGAAATATGGAATGGCAAAGTGAAACGGACGATGTATAGAAATGCTCATTAGGTTCGTTGAATTAGAATTTCGTTTGCGTTAATCAACTAAAATTTGTGGTAGCACGGAGACTAATGTTACAAAACACTTATGCATATACATATGTACCAATATGTACAGATGTATGAGCTAAATATGTGTAGGTAAAAGAGGGCTGCGATGAACTAAAATCAAGAAAAAATAAAATTCAAAAAAAGAGGGAAGCAGAAATTGCAATAGCACCCATCTTGTTTCTGGTTATACGGCAACACATCAGTAGTGGCGGACAAGTGTAGTAACAGACGAAAGTGTCGTCGGTGGCATCTCACGTCTAAACTGTGTAACACAGAGAGCGCATCTGCATCTTCTTCATACTTATGTCGTTTTAGTATACTTGAATATCCGCTTTAATATAAATTACACACAGCTCTATGATGTCAGCCAACGACAGTGTGCCTTTCGTTGCTTTCACAATTTTATTTATTGTATAAAAACTAATTCAACTAACATTGTGCCAATTTATAAGAATTTTGTTTAACAAATCCAATCAGTAGTGTTCTCGCTGTGATGAAGGTGTTAAAAGACATTTCATACTATGTATGTTAGTGCAACTACCGCAAACTAAGTAACCAACTGTGCACAGTATTTAGTGGGAGAGCCATTTGGAACTTATTTTGGTTTATTTTTAATGATCATTCCGGATCTATAATTATCTCGAAAGAATTTCCAATTGTGTATTTCGTTATTTGCTGAGTATTGCCAGAGAACATAAATAGTTATTGTATGTTCTCCGGTATTGCAACTAAAATGTTGATGATGTTCTTGTTGTTCCACTCTTTCCTAATGTTTCGCAGTTTGCGCTAGCCCAGAGAGTGAAAAAACGATTATTATTGTATATTGCAATGCATCGAGCGGGAGAGAAATTGAAGATCATAGTATTTTTTGTCTATTTTAACGCCAGTGCATTTATCAGCGACTTAATTTAGCGATTACAAATAATGTGATGTGTATGAAATCGGAAGGGAAATAGAAAAAATCTAAAGTTATGTGTACAAATTGATATGAAATGCTAATCCCAATGCATACTTTCAGTTTAGTGGTTTGTTTGTCATTGTGTGTGTGTACCTATTATTAAGTTTTAATACTTCATTAGCTGTTGGTGAACAAATTGACATTTGAAATGTCGTCATTATCCACTTTTTTTAAATTCATAATTAAGCAATTTTCTGTTTTGTTTTGCTCACCGACATCTTGTTGCATGGATACACCTCAAAAGTTGACTTGCGCGCGCAATGTTGCACTCTAACTTTGTTATCAAAACAAGTGTTGACGATCCGACAACAACATCCGTCGCAAGTAGCTTTTGGGTAAAAGTAGTGCACAATAAACTATGCATGCTTGAATTTTATATATATAAATGATTAAAATGACGAGCTGAGTCAAATATACCATTGCCGCCTACTTAAGGAAACTTCTCCCAGTTTTTGAAATATCGATCTAAAATTTAGTACACGTCCTTTTCTCGTCAAGGAGCTTCTAAGTCGGAACTGCCGATATCGGACGACTAAAGCATATACATACATGTAGTTTCCATACAAACAGAACGATCCAAATCATATCCTTGTATGGAAAACTTTATTTATTTTAAGAGATATCTTTTCCTGAAATTTAGCTCGAATTATTGTTCCAGGCAACGGCACAATCTCCGAAGCTCAGTCTGACTACTATAACATATAACCGACATACAAACTGAGTTATCAAAATCAACTTCTTGTAAGGAGAATATTTTGTATTTGTGAAAGGTATTATAGTTTCGGTTCAGCCGTTGTATTGTAATAATTGTAAATGAAAACTACTAATTTAAATTTAATTATTCATTTATCGTTTTTTATTTTCAGATATTAAAATTTGAATAAATAAGCCGCCTACCGAAGGTTCTTCAAGAATACCATTTGCTCTTTCTGAGACCCATGTGAAATGCCTGTAAGTATAAATTGTTGCCCTAAAATTGCATAAGCCGAAAATCTATTCATACATCATTCTTCACTTTTAAGTATGAAAAATTCAATAAAAAGCGCCGACAATGGGAGGATAATGGAGTTTTAGAATTAATAAAATTGTGGAAAGTTTGCGCCTATGAGCTGCGCACGATAAAACGCAATGGCCATTTATATGTGGCTATGGCAAAACAGTTGACCGCTTTGGGTGTACCTGTATCAGCACTGGAAGTACATTTTAAAGTTAACAATTTGACTCAACGTTACAGGTAAGTGAAAAATATAGTTAATACAAGGTACTTTTATTATAGACATCTTTTTTTACCTTGTATTCGCAGACAAGAGCAGAAAACTTTCGAGACCACTGGTATTATAAGCACGTGGAAATTCTATTCGCAAGTGGATGATGTTTTCAAAAGTCTGGCCGGACAAGCAGGGTATAAGTTTATGATCCTGAAAATGTAATATATCTTTACTGAAAAAATATTTTTAAACTAACAGTGATAAACGCATTATGACACCGGCATCTAATCCAAGCACTTTACCTTCGGCTTCAGAGTCTCCCGTTTGGAAGAATCAAATGTCTCAACAAGAATTCAATAGTAATAATTCCGAAGGATTTTATAAGTATGTTTGAATATACTGATTATTTGCATCTAATATTTATTTTCTTTATTAAAGATCTGAATATGGAATGCACAGACATTTTATGGATCACACTCAACCTCCACCCAATCAAAACAACGATGTTAACTTTATGGCTACCACAGCAGCGGCTGCAGCTGTTGCCGCCGCTTCAGCCCAACTTAACTCAGCACCTAATAACAACACAAACACCAACGGAGTTGTGCCAAATTACAATAACAAAATGAAAAAACCTTCCGAGGATTATGACAAATTCGTAGACATTGTAAAAAATATCGTCGATAATCACAAGGCTACTCCGGACAAAGTGGATACTTTCGGAGATTTCATTAAGTCATATATGAGACGCTGGCCCGATCGCCTACAGGATGAAGCCATAAATCATATAACCAACTATGTCATTGTTAAAAATATGGAAAATTCGATGAATAATGGGGATGGTGTGAATAATAGACAATAATAGAAGGGTAGTAATAAGGATGGGTTACATAGTATATATAATATAATATATTGGTACGTAAGAAATTTTAATATGTGTGGTAGCCTTAACTACGGGTTTAAGTGTACAAGGAACGTTACTTAATATAAAGTAAACCAAAATTCTCTCTTTTGGATTTTTAAGCAAAAGTTTTGTGTATTCTTTTAAGGATAGGAAAATATACATGCATAAATAAATGGTTGCTTTCTAAAAAAAAACGTGATACGTATTTAGTGTCATCTTCAGTTTTACTTATAGTTATACTCATTTTAGTTAAACTAAGTAGTTATTTTAATTTTCATATTTTATATACATAAAAACCAATTCCATTAAATGTTTTTTAATGCATATTCAAGATTATATTTCTTGAATCCAACAATACTGGAATGTTTGTTTTTCAAGATAATGTGTAATATTGACATAATTCAACACCTGTTTCTAATAGAATTTTAAAGTTTTTGTGGAAGCTAAAAACTACCATAAACTACTTTTTCTATACCTAAGTATGTATGTTTTTGAATGCATGGAAAGCTATAGTTATTAATTTTGATGTCATCTAATATTTAAGCCTTGTATTTTACTGCTTTAAAGAAGATTGAATTTTTATAATAAACTTGTACAGATAACAAAAACAAGACGTCCCGTAGGTTGTATCAGGGAATGTAAATGAATGTAATTCGGTCAATATGTATGCGAGCTCGTATGTGTGTGTATGTTTGTCGACAAAATCGTCATTTGGTTTTTTTCAACAACACAATGTCCGCGCGAACTCGTCGTTTTTTCGTTGGCTTGCCACCATACACAGGGGCGTGTAAAGTGAAGGTTCATAATATATTAATATGTTGCTTAATGAGTATTGAAAAATACTGATGCATTTATGACTTTTTTTTTGTAATATAATAATAATAAACGTAAAAATATAAATACACATAAATTCATACTTATAACCGTTTTTAAAATAAATACGATTAATAAAAACTATCTGAAATAATTATGTGGCAGTGCGCCCTAACCCCTCCTTGCTTGTGATCGTTCAACTTGCTTCTCGCAAAAAGCAAAAAGTGTAGACAAAAGTCATTGTTTGTGTTAATTAACCTGAACATATTTTCCTGAAATATTTTAATTATCTCA